CCCCCCCCCCCCCCCCCCCCCCCTCTCTCTCTCTCAACGAAGCTGGCTGGCTGGCTAGCTTTAATTATATCATACGTACCTCGTCATGCCTTTTGATCCAAGTAATTCCACTGATACCCCCTCCCCCCCTTTTTTTCTTTTTTCAAGCTCTTATTTGTCCCTTCCTTTCATATGAACACTTCACTGTCAACTTCAGTCCTTCTCTATCAGATATTTCTCTGAAATCCTCTCTTCCATCTCTTCATCCCCATGTGCATCTTAGCCCTCTCTTGGAAAGTCCCTTTTTATAGCCCACAAGGCCATATAATCCCCCACCCCAGCCTCTTAACTATTTCATGCACAACTCTCTCTCCCACACACGCCTACCCCACCTCTAATTATATCCCTTGCTCTTTCTCTCTTCTAGCTTTTTTGTTCTCTTCCCTTTGTTTTTTTTTTTTTTGTGATTTCTCAATCCATCATGGATCCTCAACAACAACAACAACACCAAAACCAACAACAACCAAATGAGGATAATAATGGTGGTGCCAAAGGAAACTTTATTTGCAGGCAAACCAGTACAAGGTGGACTCCCACTACTGACCAGATAAGAATATTGAAGGAACTGTACTACATCAAAGGTGTGAGGTCCCCAAATGGAGCTGAGATTCAGCAGATCTCTGCTAGGCTTAGAAAGTACGGCAAGATTGAAGGCAAGAATGTATTTTATTGGTTTCAGAACCATAAAGCTCGTGAGAGGCAAAAGAAAAGACTCACCAATGAAGTCCCCATGCAACAAAGAACTGCCTGGAAACCTGAAGATTATTACTCTTACAAGTACTCCGGTAGCAATAATAATCCTGGTTGTTATTTCCCTCTCTAAACTGTATCTTTTTTCTTTTCGTTGCGGTGCTATTTGGCTAGCTAGCTAGACTTGAGTTTTTGTTTATTTTATGCGTCTTGTGCTGACAATAATTTTCAGGGTTTTCTTCTGCTTCTTCATCTTCAAATACGGGTATGGTTACCGTTGGGCAAGCAGATAACTATGGATATGGATCTGTAAACATGCAAGAGAAAAAAAATTGGGTAAGAAATGATGACCCAGAAAATGTTAGTGACTTTATGCCACTGATAAGATCTTTCGATTATGCTGAAGTTGGTGTACTTGTATATGCTTTTGCTAGTAAGTATTAAAATGGCAAGAAATCAACATAAAAGTTACACCCATGTGGAATACTGTATGTTGTGTGAATTTTTAGGTACCTTTATACTAACATCCACTCAGATCTTGCCTTAATACTCCAATCACAAAGGCATAGACGAAATAGAAAGATTTTCGCTTTAAAAAAGTTTCTTAATAACATCTACAGAAAGGGCAGAAACTTTTCTGGCCTCCTTGCAAAATAATTGGAACGGCACAGTTCCTTTTTCTTTGAATTAAGCATGCCATTTTCCTCTCCAAAAAACATGACTTGTGACAAAAAACACAAGACTAGAAAAGGACTGCAAAAATACTCTTTTTCCCCCCTCTCAAATGGCTTTAATTTCTCCTAATTAATCCTTTTTTTTATTTGCTTCATTAGGACTGTTCAGTACCAGCTGGTGGTGAATCCATGAACAACATTAACTATGGATCACGGGGTGGCATTAACCCTTACAGTTCTTCCTATACTGTATTTGATCAAGACCAGGAAGCCGCTGAAAAGATTGAGACTCTTCCTCTATTTCCCATGCATGGCGAGGACATCAGTACCTCTTTCAACATCAACAACATTAACCCAGACGTTTATTACAGTAGCTGGTATGGCTCTGATGATTATGGCAATGCCACTACTTCTCGTACTTCCTTGGAGCTTAGCCTCTACTCCTACAATGGCCAGCAACAAGATTATTAAAGTCTCTGAACATCATCCCTCTTTAGTTTGCTGCCTCAAGTAATCCTAGTCTTCTTATGATATTCCACTTAGGTACCACCACTGATTAATTAGTACTATTTTACGTGCTTCCTCCTGTGTCTTCTTGATGGGCACTTGTTTATTGAAAGCTTTTAGTATTTGTGAACTTAACACTTGTCATGCAAAGTACTTAATTAGTAGGTGGTTGTGTTGCTTTATTGATTTTTCCAATAATGTTTATGCTATGGTAATTTAGGACAGCTAATACTATATAATAACGTCCAACCTTAGTTTAACATCACGATTGTCTCTCTTCAATAAAACCCAAAAGTTTCAGCTACCAGCAAAGAACAACAAGATCATGATTCATGATCGTATGGTGGTGTTCTAGACAGTTGCAAGGAGAGTTTAGAAAGTGATTTATGGACAGTGGGACCCTTGGCTTGAAATGATTGGTTAAGCGAAGTTAGTGTTGGTGCACCCTACGCTACAGTAGTGCTTGAGCTAGGGTTTTTCTGGGTATCATATCATGTCGTGCTGTTGAGTACAGAAGGAAAAGATTTGGCAATGATATGATGTGGGTATAATGATTGAACTAATAAGGGACAACGTAATCCATTTATCTAACATTTTCCACAAGACGACAGGTGTGTGTGTGGAAGAGTGTTAAAGATTGTTTTTAAAGTTCTTTCTTTTGTTGAAAAATATTTTAAAATAATAATGTTTTATTGTATAAAAAATTATTTTTGATATTATTACATTAAAATAATAAAAATATGTTAAAAAAATTAAAAAAAATTTAAAATTTTTAACTTCAATTCCAAATATATTAACATTTAGTAGTTAGACCGTTAATTGTATGTCTCTCATCTATTCCTTCAGGCTTGATGTAAATGCTTTATTTTTTGCCTTCCTCTTTGGCTAACAAGGCCATTGTTTTCTTCTCTATTTCTTGTTCTTTTACCTCTTGATGGTTTCCTTCATTTAATCTCTTTGTTAAACGTCCCTTCCAAGCCACATTAATCCATCTGTAAAGAATCTTTAACACCATGACTAGCACTTACCATTGAGTTCTAGCCAGAAATTGAATAATATTTTTCAATAATTTACATGTATAATGTGAAATCGGGTGCGTTTATAGGCATAATCTTTATTGATATAATTTCTATGTTCTTCCATATATAAGCCCCATTGAGCATGTCACATCTAAAGGGACAAATCCACAAACTCAGGGTTCTATTCAAAATCTTGAAAACAATTTAATGTTAAAAAAAGAATAAGTTCTCAAGATATGCTCAGTAACAAAAACAAAAAACTGTTTTTCCATTTATAGTTTTTTTTTTTCAGTTTTTCATTTCTATTAAAAATTTGTTAAAAATGAAAACAAATCTTTTCATTGAAAAAAAAGAGAGATACGTCAAAATTATAACACAAAACCATAATTTATAACATTCATATTAATATTTTATATTCATGATAGTCTAACAATAAAATATTAACTTCATTTCATTTCATTTAAATTAAAAATTAGCATGAAAAAACCTACATTGTAAACTATTTTTTATATATTATATTTATAATATTAAAATAATAAAACTAACTAAATATGAAAATATAAAAAATAATAATTTTAATCATGTATATTGCTAAAAGTGCTTGCATATAAAAGAAAAAAAAATGTATTATTCATGTTTTTTCTTCAATTGGAAAACGATAGAAAACTTGTACGTATTGGAAAATCGTGAAAAACCTCTTAAATGTATTTGTCAAACTCGAAGCAAAATTGGGATGGAGAATATTGTATTTTAATAGAAAGTTCATTTTTTTCCTTTCTTGACTTTAGTTTTTTTTTTTAAAAAAATAAAGTATTACTCCATTTCTAAACAACTCTTATCACCACTAGAAAATTTAAAAAAAATAACAAAAATACCAACAGAAAATATTTCATAACTATTCATCAGAAATTTTATTGGCATGGTTGAAGTGTAAATTTACTGATGGAAATTTCATTAGCAATTTTAATATGATTTAAGACTTGATATTTCCTCTTCTCTCCCCTATTTATTCTTTTTATTCATTAAAATAGTAGCAGAAACAGCCCTCCGTCCTCTAATTAAATCCAAAAACTAGATGCCCTCACTCACAGATCAGCTCAAAGTTAGATAATTAAATAATATCTACAATGAGTTACTAATTTTTAAAACTAATTAATGTATAAAATCATTAAGAAAATGTTTTGATGAGACGAGAGCAACGACATGTTTGTTAAGAGAGTGTGAGAAAACCATAAGTTTAAATCAACTAATCTAAACTTGGATTCTTTTATTTTATTATCTCATTTTTGTTCAAATCAACTAATACTATATTATTATAAACCCATATTCTATTATAGGTTACGGGATTTGTGTTACAATGCCAACAAATAAGTAATTCTAAAAGGCCAAATTTGATGAACTTGAAAAGTGAAAAAAATCTAAAATGAGATATTTCATAAAAAGTAATTAGACATTATTTCAATAATTTATGGAATCATATAGTTTTAGAAAACATTTTCAATCTAGTATATAAAATATAAATAAAAAAATCTTATGGTCTGATGAGCGAGCTCATCAAATAAGCGGTTCTGTTTGTCAATTATGCAAAACATCTAGTAAAACCTTGTTGTAATTTTTTTTTTCTTGAAGTTGGATTTAAGTGTTTATATGTGAGACTTTTAATAAACTACTTAATCTGCAGGAAAAATAGCTTAGAAACTTGTATTAAAAAGATGGGTGTTGGAAAAAGTTTGTCAATATAAGAGTGGAAGTATTCGTTATAAATCTCTTTATAGTTATTATCCTTATAATAATGTTTATTTTTATTATTAATATGAAATGTAATTGAATTTTTTTATCATATAAAAGAACTAATATAAAGCTTTTTTTTTTGTAGGAAACATGTAACGCCAGCATGACTGTAAAATTTAGTAAAAATACTTTTATTCATCTTTCTCATGATCCTTAACTGTGATTGGAGGGTGCTATAAGTAATGAACTGAACACAAATTAGGTTTATGATATTCCCATGGTATCAATTAGAGATCAGAACAAGAATGGACCAAATTGTTTCAACTATAGGTATATCACATTTTAGCTCAAGCAATGCATTATAGAACTTTGATGAAATGATCCGAAAAAGGGTTCAAGAATAATTGTTTATTAAGATGCAAAACATGGAAACAAAAATAAGAGAAGAACTAATAGCAAAAATGAGAGAAAAACTTCAACATGAAACTTGATGCATTTTGCTAAGAAGAGTGCAACTATAAGTATATATTTTCTCCTTTTTTGGACCTTCTGATTTAGAATCTTAGGAAATTCAATGAAATATGAGTTTTATATAAATATATTTTATTTTGGATATATATTTTTGTTATGTGATTTGTGGTTATAGTTTAGTGATTGATTGATTATTGTTGTGTATTTATATGAGAATTATAAAGTCGAGGATTATAAAAACTAACCATAGAATTTTTGTGAAAACACCCACATATTCACTGATAGAAAGGCAATTTCATTATTAATTTTATTGGCAATTTCACTGCAATCTTTGCATTCGTTATGAGATTTGTGATAAAATTTATAGAATATAATGTTCTGAATCTTTTCATCATTAATTTCATCAGCAAAGAGACCATGTCTTATTGCTTGGTTATATTTATGTAGGTAATTGCAGTGTAAGTGCATTAATTTCCCATCATGGGGGCGTCTCTAGAATACAATAAATATATAATTAAGTTCCAAGAGAAGAGTTGAGCTTATGAACTTAAATGGAAGTAACATTCAACGGCTGACGCTAGGGCAAAGGTGCTAAAATTTGTTATCGCAGAGTTACATTGTTCCTTCTTTATTGTCATTTTTGTTTCTATAGCTTTCATTAGACGTTTGGTTTGGTTTAGAGAAAACTTTTTTTTTTATTATCAGTTTTATTTTTTCAAAGAAAAATTAAAAAAATACATGTTTATTTTTTCAAAATAAAACATTTTTAATTTCAATAAAAAAATGCATCAAGATTATAACTATTTTTCATAAAAAGTCATCTTAATATTTGTATTCGTGGTAATCTAATTTGAAAATATTAATTGTGTTTCATTCAAATTAAAAGCCATCATGAAAAAACTATTTTGGTAAATAAAAAAATATTATATTTATAGTAAAAATTAAATTTATGACACTATCTAGATATGAAAATAAGAAAATTAATTTAAATTTTTACATTGCTAAAAATTTCTTTTACATAAAAGAAAAAAAATGTATTGATTATATTATTATTATGTTTTTGGAAACACTAGAAACTATGTATCAAAAAATTATGAAAAACCTTTAAAATGTATTTTTCAAACTCAGTACAAATTTAAACCTAGTTTTTTTAATTTTTTAGATGGAGAAATATTGTATTTATATATAAAGTTTTAGTTTATCTTTTTTTAACTCTATTTTTTCCCAAAAAAATAGAAGCATTACTTTGTTGCAGAACAATCTCTAAGGTTTTTCTTTCTTTCCTTTGCTTTTATTTTTTCACTTGATCCAGGAAAAAGGAGGAAGAAATGTTGTCAATGTTCATCCATTGTGCATAATGCTTTTTGTTTGGTCTATTGGAATTAAAATCATCTATTGAAATGAACAATTCCTTACCCAATTAAAAAAATATATATCAGAAAGGAGAGGCTCGAACAGCTTTAAGTGCATAGATACCCTACTGCTAGTTAAGCTACTTGCTCTCGTTGGCAATTCAATCAAGATAAACTAAACGGTTTTGTATGTATTAGATGTCAGTTAATTTATTATAAAAGAATGTCAATTAAATTAGTTTTTCTTATAAAGCCATTTTTCATCTCTACAATAACATATAAATGGATCCCATATTAATCTCATGTTTCTCAAATTTTCTCACAATAAATTAATACTTTTTACTCTAAAATTTATGATATCCGCAAATTCATATGTGTGTCATGGCAGTGTTTGTTTAAGAGGTTGTATTAGCGTTTTGTTTAAAATGTAGATGCAATATATTTGGTAATGAAAAAAACATAGTTTATTGTTCATGGATATCATAGTATTTTTACGTTCGAAACACAGGAAAAAGAAAAATAAGTAATTGCTGCTTCTTGCACATTGTTTATACTAATTGCACTGTTCAGTGAACAATACAGTTAGTAT